CCTAGGGGATCCTGCTCTGGCAGGGGGGTTGGACTAGATGATCTCTAGAGGTCCCTTCCAACCCCTGACATTCTGTGATTCTGTGATTAATGATAATTAAAATGATTCAGCTATCGATTTAGAAGTGGAACTCTTTTTTTCTAAGCCAAGATTATAAAATAAGAAGAATTAAAGCAAGAGCGTGGCTTTGCGGAGTGTTTCTTTCGGGACAAAAAACTAATAATGCCACCAGGTATTTTTAATCTTATTATGTTTATTTTTAAACAACATAAAAGGTCGTTTTTATTTTGAACTATAAAGAACCAAACAAAAAGAAATTATTTATGTGCTCTTAGCCTATGTTTTGATGGTTCCTTATGAATTAAAGATGATGCAGTGGTATTTGACAAGGCTGTGATGCTTGCTGCTCTGCTTCATAAGGAGATTAGGACTACCATATTTCTGTTTTTATTTGAGCATTCACCAGACATGAATGTCTCTGCATGCTGTAGACCTCTTAAATGTTGCAAACCCTATGAGTTTAACTCACCAATTTCAAGACGGCGCAGCATCACTGGTCAGTGAGAGCTAGAATCTGGCTCCAGCCTAGAGCTGTCAACAATGGAGACCACACGTGCCTCGGGAGTGTTATTCTCAGGTGCTCTCCACTGCAGCTGTGGTCTCGGCAGACACACTGCCCCTTTCTAGAGTCCCGAGAGAAGCCTCCATGCATGGCATTGTTCTGGAGAACTGCAGGAACGCTGATATTTCTGTGCAAATCCTTGCCGCCATGACAATGAAGTATATATCAAGCCATCTGTTTGCAGATGTAATACAGCAGAGAAATACACCTGCCTGCAGAGCTGCAAAGACTGATGATCCAGGCAGGGACACTCCTCTCAGTCCCAGTCCAGTGCAGCACAGATGCAGACGTGGAGCAACTGCAGCAGAGGGGTAGTAACAAGCAGCACAGACCATAAATTTGTGTTGCTGCCAAATAGCAACTCGGGGAACTACAGCCTCAGTCTCTCAGTAGGGATTTTAGGTGGCTGATGACTGCACAGCTCTCAGCAATACTGCTATTTGTAATGCACAGGCATATCCTATTTAATTCTGTTTCTATTCCTGCCCTTTCCCAGGCAGCTTCTCCTGGCTGCATCCTTCCCTTCTTCTTCACAGGTTCTTTGGCAACCTTATCTCATGATTCATTCTCCTCCCCCATAAAGGTGTTTGAGAATTGTTGCTATATATAATGCAGGTTTCCTCACAGTGGTTTTATGTGTATATGCCAAGACAAAGCATAGTGGTTGTGCATTGCTTTATATTTTGTGCAAAAAGATTGTAGTGGCATCAGAAATTGTGTCTGTGGCTCATCTCCAGTTCAAAGAATGGTGAAACAAACTTTCACAGTTTCAGGTGTGAAAAATCTCAGGTCTTTCACCTTCCCTGTAAGAGCATCCTGTATTGGGATGAGAGTTTGTTTCTGCATTTATTAAAGGTGAAATTAATCATAATACGGAGGGTTGGAAACCATCTTCAAAGACCTCATCATTGACGACACTCTCATAAGCAGGTGGTGGGGTGAGTGGCTCCAGTGGCTCAAACCTGTCTTCAATACCTTTCACTTCATGAATGTCTGAAACAATCCGCTGCGGTCTTGGGGGCAGCACCAGCTGCAGCTGCATCCTGGAGCCTCTGTCTGTCTCCAAGGTGCCTCTTATGTCCGATGCCACTGACACCCTGAGAGCCTCCACTATAGTATCTTCGTGGGCAGTTGATTCAATAACGACGTTGTAAGGAGGAGGCTCATTCAGTGGTGAGGGCACTGAGCCTGGATTGGATGCAATTGTCCATATTGCTGGAACTGACATGGTCATCACCTCCTCATAGGTGGGTGCTTCATAGGCAGCGTTCACCCTATGCACCAAGAAAGGAATGCCA